GAATATCTGAAGCTTGAACATCTCAAATTACGGGTCAGAGGCTGTCAGTTCTCGGCATGTCTTTGTTTCGCAGCAGCAGAACAACAGGAATATAGGGCGAAGCAGCTCTGTATCTACAATCTTGCTTGGTGGCACATCAACTGTATATTTCAGAGTTTATTTATCTTGGTCCGTTTGTATTGTGTCTGTAAGACTGTCTAACAGCTCGAGGTGTCTAGTTGGGGTCATCTACATGGAGCCCACCGCTGATGCCGAGTATGATAATCGTATTTAGGGTTGTCCCTCTCTACATGTCTCGGATACACTAATATCCTGATACTAAAAGACCAGTTGTCCTAAAATAAACTTTTCCGAACACATGTACATTGGAGGTGACAAATACACTGAGGTCCAGTTCATCGACCTTATCAAAGATCTGGGATTACTCGAAAATGTGAAGCAAGCAAATCGTTCAAGGAGTAGTCAGACGCCGTCAAGCTTGTACTGCATTTTTACAAACAAATAAGTCCTAACTGACAATCTCACAAATACGGTTCTCCTGAGTGAAAATGATCACAGCCTTCAACTTTATCAACGAAAGTGAGCTAAAACATCCTACTAACAACAAGCGTTGGAATTACAAACAGTTGGATGTGTCGGCCTTACAGGCCAATCTACAGAATGTGGACTGTGGATCCAACCCATAACTTGATGTGGACGCTCAGTAGAACTTCCCACTGCACATGGCCTTATATGCTGCAGAACAGTCTCTTTCGCAGATGGTTCCAAAAATTATAAGGAAGCCGCAGTCGTCAGGAATCGGACTTTTTGATCGCTAAGATGAAAAACGCGCTACTGGAAGGAACGTAAGCGACCTAGTGACAACAGCTCGTATAGGCAGTTCAAACAAGCAAGGAATCAGCGCACAAAGGTGATAATAAAAGAAAGGCTCGTCTTTAACATTTCAAGGTGTAAAGTAGTCCATGTGAGACATGCTGCAGATGGCGAACACAACCTGGGTAACTCCTCTCTAGAGGTATCCTATGATGAAAAACGTTCAGGAGTTTTGGTACTTAGTGGCCTGAAGTCCTACTCCTACTGCGACAAAAATTTCTCTCGAGCATACCTTACATTGTTCGACGGTAGAAATTTCCACTTCTTCAAAAGTTTTATTCGACCCTATTTAAATTATGGAAACATAGTGTTTTTGAGATGGTGGAGAAGATTTGTAGCTCAGGTGGATGATTTTGGTGGAGTTTTGTTCCAGCTCAGAGAACAAAACTCCACCCAAAAACATAGTGTTTTTCCCATCACTCCCAAAAGATTAAGATACATTGGAACGTATGAAACGGTGAGCGATGAAATATGTTTGGGGACTCAATTTCAAGCCATATGAAATGCACCTCAAATCACTGAACCTTAACGCATTGGAGTATAGTCGTCTTAAAGCTGACTTTCTAATGACTTTGAAGATGGCATAGGTATTCAGTGTTTGACAACGCTTTTACCAGTAACACCTAATATAACTCGTATCCACCAAGAGAAATCAAAAGACAGAATCGAGGAGATAAGATGTTGTATTTGACGATTGTCAATAAATCGGAATTGTTTGATCTAGTCTGGCTAGCGATTGCAGTAGATGTTGAGTACGACGTTGCCACACGTGATCTGGTGCGGATGAATGACCGACCGCCTTCAGCTAGGTGAGTCCGTTAAAACATATGGTCAGCATCAAATGTCGAAAACTTACAGAGCTATTTATTTAGGGTATTTATTTACCGCTACAACTTACAGTATCATAAACACTTCTGGACTACCCTTTAAATACCCACCTCAGCTCAGTTCCAGTAAAAACCTTAGGAGTAACACTCAGAAACTGGAAACATAACACAGCACAACAGACTTAAGGCATATTTTATACCCTTTAGGAGTAGTTGAGCGCTAGAATCCTCTGCCAGATTAGCCAGTTCAAGTGACACCCTAGGAGTCTTTCACGAAATGACCTGACATATTCGTAGTCGAATTGAGGTTAACTATGAACACCGCTACAAAGAAACACGTGCCAAGCGAATCAGAAGGCGTAAGAAGCTCGTTCCGAATGACTCCATAAAATCCCCGAGAAGCCGAATATCAGAAGGAAATTAATGGACCAAGTCGATGTTTATTTGCTGGCGATCTCGTGGCATCGAAAGGATACCGAGATCGTGCCAGGATACAAGCTTGGTTACAGAACGTAACCGAATTCGCGCGAAGTTACAATCAAAGTGTAAGTAAGTGAATGGAAGCCCAAAATAGCTGTCATTAGCACAGTCAAACAAAAGCACGTTAAAACAAACACTGGTACAGTTGGTTATAATAATAATTGTTTTTATTAAACCAGTCGTGTTCTCGTGATAAACGTGAGTCACTACAGGAGCCCCCCGCTAGAAAGGGTTTACACTTTCGATAAATAGCGGTTTGAATCGTGGGACTGATCGGCTGACGAGCGATTGTAGGACGGAAGAATTGGCGAACAGGAAAGCGATCGTTGATCGTCGAGTTGCCAACGAAGGTCGTTTTCGCAGAACGGTACCAGGAGCGATGTGTTGTATTTGTTGCTTGAGTCGGCATGCTACCAGAGTGGTTTGTATCCAGAATCTGAAGAGGGCGTTCGTACGGGTCCGGACCATAAACGCTGCAGATGAAGGACGAAACCACGTTGAGCCAAAAGACCAGAAGCGACCATAACGACCAAGTTCGAGACCAAGCGTACGCCAAGCATTCGAAACCAATATATCGACTGAGTGCGTTGACAAGAGCATGGGTGGCCAATCCAGCTTTCGCCAAAGTTGACTGAAGTCGACGGAACCAAACGGAGATTGTCGAAGGCGTGGGCTCAGGAAACAAAAAGAAAATCAAAAAAAGAAGAGTGTAGCATGCGTGTAGTATAGGAATAACCCTATACCGTATCGGTTGTTGACTGTGCGGCTAGTCGCGGAAGCGTACGGGTAAACGTACTCGGTGACCGAAACGTGAGACGGCAGTCTCGTTCGTATTTCGTGAGCCTGCAATCTCATCCGAGGTCAGAGGCGGCGTGGTCTGCTGATCTGGACGTGAGACTGTCGTCTCGTCCGTAGACGGTGCAGATGACGCGTGCTGTTGACCGGGACGTGAGAATGAGGTCTCACATGTATCTAGCGTGGGACCTGAAGAAGATTTAAGGATCCCGCTAGGTTTGATAGGTCTAGCATTGAATCTCAGGGTGTCAGATAGGGCACTGTCATCGACGTGTGCTGGTTTGAGACGATCAATGCTGACGATCTCGACGCGTCCATATCGATCAACCTTGAAGGTCTTTTCGTGACGAGCGATCACGTGAAAAGGGCCTTCGTAAGGTTGTTGCCGAGGTTTGCGTACCGAATCTACTCGTACAAAAACATGTGAACAGGTAGATAACTCTCGAGGGAGAGCGACCTGTCGATGTTGTATTCGAGTTGACACCGGAGACAGCGTTCGCATAAATGCAGACAGTCTATGGACGTAGTCTGATTTACCGAAATTAGGTCTGCTCCGTGGTGTGAAGAATTCTCCGGGCAGACGTAATGTCGTGCCGTATACAAGTTCCGTGGCGGAACATTGGATATCTGCCTTTAAACTCGTTCTCACCCCTAAAAGAACGAGCGGTAAGGTTTCGTGCCAGTCGCCGTTTTCGTGTGCTCGTAGAACATTTTTAAGTTGGCAGTGAAACCGTTCAACTTAACCATTTGGTGCTGGGTGGTAGACGGATATGCTTATGCGTATGCATTCCGTACCAAGCAGCCGGGTCAGCGAGGAGAATCGTTAATAGGGTAACATTTCTCGAATAAAGCGTGGAATTCATCATCACGCGAATAAAAAGTGACAAGGATTCGGTACACATACGTGTGAGTCTATTATATTAATACTATTCTTATCGTTATCCGTCATGTCGCGTATATTATATATTAAAAATATGAAAATATACGACAGACGTGGATAGATAAATCAGACTCACCGAATTGGCTTCTTTGGAAGATTTGACCAGGAGTTGAGGCGTGTTCCAAAATACGGGTCACCAATTGTAGTCTGATTGGGATTACCAATTGTAGCGTGGCGTCGAGTTGAGGTTAACTATGAACACCGCTACAAAGAAACACGTGCCAAGCGAATCAGAAGGCGTAAGAAGCTCGTTCCGAATGACTCCATAAAATCCCCGAGAAGCCGAATATCAGAAGGAAATTAATGGACCAAGTCGATGTTTATTTGCTGGCGATCTCGTGGCATCGAAAGGATACCGAGATCGTGCCAGGATACAAGCTTGGTTACAGAACGTAACCGAATTCGCGCGAAGTTACAATCAAAGTGTAAGTAAGTGAATGGAAGCCCAAAATAGCTGTCATTAGCACAGTCAAACAAAAGCACGTTAAAACAAACACTGGTACAGTTGGCTATAATAATAATTGTTTTTATTAAACCAGTCGTGTTCTCGTGATAAACGTGAGTCACTACATATTCTTAAGGATTATGGACAGTAGCTCTCTATAATTTACTAGTAATTTTTCTTTTATCGTCAAATGTACCTTGGTTCCTACCTGGAAACGTCAGTTGTCCATTGATATCAGCTACGGAGGGCTGTTGTGTGAAAGCTTCTTCTATTCCGCCGTGAACCAAATGAAACGCCATTCCAATTATTGTCTTTTCCCTCTAATTTCCGACGAACTAAAACAGTAAAACAGCTGGGAAACATCCCCTGAAACCCCACTCTAGCTACAAAAAAGTTAATAATACGTTACTTCTACCAAGTTCAGTTTGAAGTTTGAAATCTAACAACTTTTCCTATCTTAAGTTACTTGTACTCTAAGGCGGTTTTCTTACGGCGCTTCTCTTGACCTTAGACCGTCTCGAGGGATTAATGATTTGTCAAAACATCTAATTCAGGATACATGCGTGAATTTCTATAAACGAACACTGTTGTATAATCACTAAAAGTGATAGAATTAGTCCTATATATAAAAATATAAATTATGAGTCTCTTTACAAGTCCACCTCCAGTTGTAAAGCGACTTATAAGTTACATCAAAGAAGGTTCAGACAAAGAAGAAAAGTGGAAGGAAAAGGCTGTTAAATCATTAGTCAAGAGATTAAAAAACGGGACACAATTGGACGAGTTGGAACGTGCTTTGGTTAGCCAAGATCCATCTACACGCTGTGTTACAATACCTCGTTCATTGGATGGACGTCTACAGGTAAGTTCATGTGCGTGGGGCTGTTTGGATATCAGATTTTAAATAATCGGCAAGACGTTTTCTGAAGGTCAATTTCACTGTAAAAATAATAAACGTTTTGACGGCTATAGTGTCCTGTCAAGGGGCCTCAATTAACATATCAATGGACTAAAGCTGTTCATTATTTTGGTTTTCCTCCTCAAGCCTCCACGTAGCTTAAAACATCTTAATATAAAAGCATAGCTTGGAACGTCAATAAAAATAGCTTCAAAGAAAGCATTGTAAAGTGGAGTTTTTAATGTCTGTTCCTATGGAAGAATTAGAAAACCATGCTGGAATACAGATCACATCTGCATAAAACTGTTGTTCAGTTATTTAGTTACTGTCAAATCAGTCATTTGGACATATCATATAATGACAGCAGTTTTGCTCAAATTCTCCTTGATCACTCCCAGCTGAATGTAAATATTATAGTTCTATATAATGTCTTATTTATTGCTCCAGTTTACCATAAGATAGTAAAGTATTTATAACAGTGGTTAGATAAGAACGTCGACTTCCACGTGGTTTTCACCTGATAACCTTAAAAAGATTAGATTCAGGCTTTGTAGATTATAAAACGTACTAATAAAGTCTATTGACAGGCTTTGCTACGTAATGTATTAGATAATTGATACTTAGCATGCTTGAGGACTAATTATCTCGGCATAATTAGTCTAACAGTCATTAGGATTAGTGTACCAACCCACTTGATACTCGATTACGTGACAATTTGTTGGCCTGATTGGTTCCGGAAAACACCCAGGCACACGAGTAACATTTGCTACAGCAAAATCATATACCGGTCTGCAGTGAAATACTTTTTATCAGCAGGACGAAGAGACAGCAATATGAAATGCGGTGGACAGTTATCAGTCCAGCGAGGAGTAGTGTGACAATCTAGGAAAACTATCCGGAAAATGTCTGTCCTTCACTTTATAATCGATGAAACATGCATGCTATTTAAAGTTCCAACGTCATCCAGAAAACTTCCGCCTCCCGAATTTTTTCACAACAGCATCTTGATACCCCCCTAACTCGTCATATTTGGCCACCTCTAGACTTCCTGACCTATTCTTGACGCAATAACACGTTAATGTAAGCGATAACCGGGTATGATTTAACCATGTACTTGTCACCTCGCTCACTGTGTTATCAAAATCTCGATTGGTTTGTAATTTCTACCTGCTTTTCAGTTCCAGAGATTGTATTTACAGTGATAACTTAATTAAAAACGGCTTAATACACCTATGTTGAGTTTAATTATCTCTGTAATTAATGTGACGTATCCTTAGTCAAGCGGATCTATGTCCCAAGGTTTTGTCACCTAACGGCGCCGATATGACTCTTAAGATAATTAAATTGGTCAAGGCGCTCAGCTGCATATAGATTTGGCATTAGTGTAGACCCTTCCTGAAACTCATATGGAACAGTACTTGCTTGTCACTCATCGCGTCTGAAAATTTCCCTGTCTTCTGGTAGGATGCCAATTACTTAGAAATCGAACGATAGCAATTAAGTTTCAGAGGAAGCGAGATCAAGCAGCATTGTCAGATACCATTTGGCATAGTCGACACAAATAACAGTTCTTAGTAAATTCCGACCGAACAAGTAATACCTCGTTCAAGAACCTTCCGTAGATTGACCTACTTTAGTAAATCCCTCAGTAGCACTGTCGTAAATCCTATTAATCGACCAGGTGAAGTTCTGCTTTCACATCATGAAATACAAATATTTCAACCCTTAATGGTCTCACTTGTTTTTTTGAATGGATTTGTTATTGAAGAACTAAAGCGAGTATATTCTTACATCTTTTGCCGTATGTCAATAATTCATTAATCTATATTGACTAGGTTATACATGCTCCTCATCTATTATTTAGATTATTTGTTCAAATAGTGGACATTCTTTTCAATAATTACTGTGTTGACCTTTGTTGTAAGAACAAAATCTATTAACTATCTAGCTTTAACTGTTACCAGTTATTTATCGACCCATCTGGCTATCATCCTAATAATGCTTCATTGACTTACTGCTGACTCCTTAATTAATAATTTTCTAAGTTAAATCAACCAGATACAATGAATCTATTAGATTTAAGTGCTATTTGATCCAAAGTTTCTTGTCCCATAAACGTTCTACTTAATTTAAGCTTCAGTAAGCTCCATACAGAAAAGTATGTCAGGTTTTCATCCGACCGGTCAGGAAAATGACTTACTGTTAACTGATTTCGTACGTTCTACGCTCAATATATCCGTGGGTTTAAATATTCGTGAAACTGATTAATAATATTCTAAGTGCTCTCACAATAAATCATTAAGTTATACTAGGTAAAAGATGCTGAGTAATCAAACGTTGACTCTTGATTACGTCTTGAATGCATAATATACTATCATAATCGTCTGTTTTGATGAACAAAGTCAGTTATCTAAAATAGTATGAGACGTAAATATGGATTAATAGCCAGCTATTTGGTCAGTTAACGATTAATGCGTTCATAAAATCGTCGTATTCATAGCTAGGTCAGTTGAATAATTTGTATTAACTAGTTCATAGTTCTTTTATCAAGTGTTTTCGTGTCTATCTGTTTCTGCGTTCCTTTTTCTTAATTGTAACCATGTAGTTTTCAAATACTTTATTTTTGTACGTTTTTGAGTGCGGATCGTTAAGACTAGAAAACTACATCACGCTGGTCCGTCATAATGAAATGATATGAATTTTTATGGAATTTAAATCATGTGCCTCGTTATTTTATACATGGTTAGGTCGTATTTTGTCGTGTTGTTATTAGATACACTAATTATTTTCTCTCACACATTGTTTTTATTTGCCTTTGATTTTCACTAGGTTGCCCAGAAAAAAGGTTTACCACACGTTTTTTACTGCCAACTTTGGCGATGGCCAGACCTGCATACTCAGCACGAGTTAAGGCCTATCGCTACGTGTGAATATTCTTTCCAATCAAAACGCGATGAGGTTTGTATCAACCCTTATCACTATCGAAGGATTGAAAATCCAGGTTCGTATAAGATGTTTTGTTTCCATTCTCAACATTGGTTGCTATCTTTGAATAGGTCTACATCTTGTTTGTCTCCTGACGGGGTCGTTCTCAGTGCACTCTTGAGCTCTCGAAATGCACTCTGACATGCAGTTGATTCAAAGTGATGGTTTTCAAAATATCATTTTCATAACTATCTTTCGTAAACATTGTTTTGTTAATTGGTTATGAGATCGATAGTTCTATGAAGACCGACATTTGTGTTCGTAGTATCTTTATCGTAATTTATGGTAACTATGGTTCACTACTCGCATCATCACCAGTAGAACTTTGCTAAAAACGATCGATTGTTTTTTGTTAAACTTTCAAAATAAAGTAACTGGAGGAAAACGTGTAGAGTATGTGCTAAAGTTTCCAGTTCTGTTTTTCATGAATGTTTGTTAATCCAAAATTAGCACAGGATATACTTCTGTAATAAAATGATAGTTAATTAATTTATCAAACATAATATTGTATGGAAAATACACTCATTAAGTCAAAGAGTTTCATTTTCGAATATTTTGAAATGTTATATTGAAACACTTTCTCAGCAGTCAGTCAGTCAGTAACAACGTAGAACTTTGTACCTGCGTACATCAGTTCGAGTTGCCACACCACATTAGCACAGAGATGCAGTTGTCGATTCAAATCCCGTAGTGGTAGAGGTAGTAAGAGTATAAGCAGTAATCGGGAAGATTAGGGTTTGGAGATGTTATTTAAAGTAATCAAATACACACTTTTTAAACATCGTTATCTAGAAATTACCATGTTTTTCGAATATACAGAAGTACAACCCCCTACAGCCTTTTTCGCCAATACGTTTAGTGGTCAGACTAATATACCTATGGTCCCAGTAGTACTTCACATTGTGGTAAGGAAATCTGACTTAAGTCATCTATAAGTTAGTCTTCGCCGTTATATTACTATTCAAACTAACAGAGCTAATCATATACACGAAATTCTCGACTATTTACGACTGCTCATCATAAAACGACAAGCAGAAAAAGCATTTTACACGGTTTGAGCATTACGATGTGCTAGTTAATACTTTGAAAACAATCACTGACAGACTTATAACCTTACGAGTATCACATGCATTGTATGCATATAGGTTTTGTATGCACATTTTTCATCTGTATTTCTGAATTTTTGCACTAATTATCGTTTGATATTAGATTCTCTATTATTTATTAAGCATTAGAATTCCATTCCGCCCACTCTATACAAGCTTACACAGTTAAGGTTATATCATACAGTCATTAAATATTCATTTATACTTTTATCATGAGCCGTGATAATCCAAAATATTGTCATCAAGTCTATTTGCTTACTTAGATTGTTTTTCGAAATAATGTTATCCCATGTCAAACGTTTTTGACAAGTAATACTCAGAAACTCATCTTATAAATGTTTACATTCTCATTTCACACTAAAATGTTTCTTCTCAATATAACTATTTTCAATAGTAAAACCCCGAGATATGAGCTCTTGTATTTCGGATAAAAGCTGGTTATTAGACTTAACAGGCAATAGTCATAAATGCCAAAAATCTAACCTATTAGAATCGACTAGCATTAAACTTCAACCAGTATGTCACAAGTCTGGTGCTTACTCCAAAGTGCACCAGTGTGAACAGCCAGTTAGTACTACAAATTCACGTAAACTACGGTACTCAAAAGCTGTGTAAATAAACAGGACTGAAGAAGTTTATTGTCATTGTGAGTTTATTTATATCCGTCTGTAGAATTTCTCGCTTTCTGTAGTATATTATCAATAATCTTTGATTTCAGTTGTGTTCTGTGTTCTATGCTATTTTTGATAAATTATCTTTATCTCATCACTAGACTCGTGAACCAAATTTAAATTGGTCTTGGTTTCATTAAATAATTTCATTGTTAGAATAAAACCGGATTGAAATGACGGATGATACTTTCCGTCATGTCTTTGTTTCCTATTTTTGGTAATATTTAATAATTAAAACCTAGTAATCCATAAATGTTTTTTTTAAATGAACCCATTAATTTTTTGTTTATTTATAGTTCTCCCACCAATTATGGTTCCTCGTACAGTTAACAATGGGACTTCCGGAGTCAATAACGACAACACACATCGTGGTGTTACAGAATCATCTACTGAACGTTATGGAAGAGGTTCATCTTTTGGTTCACATCATTCTCGATACTCCTCTATGCACAATCAGTATCAACAAGGTCTTCAACAACAACATCTAAATGCTTTACAGAGTCATCATCCTTCCTCTGCTGGACTAAATGATTCTATGATAATGGGAGATGATTGTGGTTCAGAACCAAATAGTTTAGCTGCCCTCCTAGCTCCTCCATCTAAACAACCCAGACAACATCTTGCTACAGATGCTGTAACAGCTGCTGCTCTAGCCAGAGGTGATGCACTTGACGCGTATGCTGTAGCAAGTCGAGCAATAGCTGGTTTAGAAAATGTCGGAAATGTACTCGGTGGGACGCATCCACCATGTGTGAGCCTTCGTGAGGTAAATCATCCACCTAATTTTAAATACTCACTTATATTTGCAAGTAGTTTATTACCCACACGGTATCAGTGCGTTTTATTTATCTCCTTGATAGTTGCTTATGTATTTCCGTACCAACATCAGTATTACGCCATGCTTGTGGGTATCAATTTCAGCAAAATACAAATATGAATGTGTGTGTAAAAAAACCTAGTGTTGTAAATTTCATTCTTCTGACTGTAATAGTTCCACATTACTAATGTAAATTTCAGTATGTTGGTGACCCCAGAGGAGCCCAAGGCGTAGTTAAAGCAAAGATGAAGCACTAGAAATAATTGTTTTAACGGTGGTGATAGACAAAAAGTCAAAAGAAACGAATGAAATCGAATATTAAGAAGTATAAAATGATGCCCCAAATGTCCTGGTACGATCGAGGGTGGGGAGAGTCAACTCTTTCGAAATGCTCTCACATAGCCACGCGTTAACAACCACTGCCAGGGAAGTCCTACTCACTACCTTCTCGCGGCGAGGGTGCTCTTTACGAAATCGAGAGGGTGCAAAGCGAATGTCCGGTGCTTTAACCGGGTTGGTTGGATATGGAGGATCCACCTAGGGAAGTTGGAAAACCATGATTTTAAACCAATGGTGCATATGGGCTCCAGGATCCCGAGGGAACCAAAAGGCGTATGAACCTATTGTTGGTCACCGGCTAGCATGAGACTGAATCTCCTAAAGTTGCTCCAGTGCCTTGCGAATTAGACCTTCAGGTCAAAGGCTCCGGGTGTGGCCTCCTAATAAAACCACCTGCTTCGGTCTGGGCACCCGGGCACTATTGAGTTAACTGCTTCTATGAGTCCGGTGTTCGTCTTGCTGTGCTAATGAGGTGTGGCAACTTGGACCGATTCATGTGTGTGCTTGGCCCTACGTTGTAACTGACTGACTGACTCAAGCTATATCTCAACTCCCATACAAATCGAATGACAAAGTGTGGCGCATATGTATCTTGTGCCCCCTTGTACCGATGTTTATGTGTTTAAATAAATAAAAATGCTAACACTCACTTTTAACAGAAATATGCAGAATAAATAGATTTCCTGCACCACTATGAATGATTTCAGTCCTCGACACCCAAAATCGTCAACCGTAGATTATGTTAGCCACCCAAACTCCATCGAAAAGGTCTTCATCTCTCCATATGGATGAGACCAGTGGTTAGTGACTTCTTTGGCTGACACAATATATTACTTTGCACACCTTCAGTCTTTTTGTTAACCTACTCCTATGCTAGCTAAGATAACATCGGAGTAAGGGTTGACTGAGAATGTTTAATAGTTTGAACCACTTCAGTTAATGAAGGTTTACTGTTTCATCAGTCAACCTGCTATTCCTACCCAATAGGTTACATTTTTATTCTATAAGTAATTTGATGTAACTTTATTGAGTTTTCATGATGCATTCTGTAGACTGCTCATTTGAAATTATGATAACTACGAAAGAATATGTGTACAACATAAACAATAATCATTGTACTTGTTTACCGTAAACTGCTGAATACTATATTTAATCCTATATCTACAGGCTGCTGAAAATATGACTCTGGGTGGACCCCCCAATTTAGTTGGAACGCCCCCAGCTCCTCCTCATACAGGCTATCAATCGTCTCTTATGAATGTAGTGTCCAGTCTTAGCGGTGATGGTCGTGATTTCGCTCGCAGTTTAGGTGTAGCAAATCACATTCACAATGCTACAACGAGGTTTGTTTTTTTTAGATTCTAGAATGCTTGTCTAATAAGTCACTGAATATATATATATATATAAAGTTCAATTTTTTTAAGTTGTTCGATTTTTGTTGTTACAAGATGATTTGAAATAGGATTTTGGCTAGATAGTGTCATGAAGATAGTAAAGAATTAATTTCTCAGACTTATTACAGAGGGTTGTTTCATTTTCCCTATATTTATATGGTGATAACTTTCACCATATATCAGTAAAATATCCATCTACTAGTTACAAACGCTGTAGGACCCTGTACAAGTGTATATCACTATATTTTTCATCCGAACATTGGGAGGAAAATTGACGAAGTGAAAAGCAGAGGGACAAAATAATATCAATCATAATATAGAACTAACGATTAAGGGAATGACAAATGCCATTAACTAAAGGTTATCTTATCACGTCATTCAACCTAGATTTTAAGTAATAACGACTTAAAGCCTCGTTTTAATTTAATTATTTTGCATGCTCTTATTATTCGTACATGTATGGTAACTGGAGTCACCATTGATTTTTTTATCGACTTTGAATAAGTTAATTGAGTAATCCAGACAAATTTTTAGGACACGTAAAGTGTGTAAGTGATTTATCTCTGCGCTCAATTGTAAATTGATTGAAGTTGGAATTGTACCACCGGACGTCAACCAAGGGGTTCTGTTGGTTAGGAATTCACCACGACACATGAGGGTCTTTAGTCCAAATCCAATCACTGGTGGTATTTCGGGGCTCACTGCCGAGGAGTGTCATACTAGATGAAAACAACTTCCCAATGATCCCTGGTTTCAGTGATACCTTGACTAAGATTAATCCATAACAAATACAACTTACGTATATGAGTAGTGTTTTTGCCGGTTTTTAATATGTAATGAATAAACTCCGTATTTTCTTTTTTTGTTTCGGTTTACCTTCCTATCTTTTCTTTTGTTCCACTGACTAAATTTGGAGACTAGGTGGTCAGATCATTTGAGTAGACTCAGTTTGAATCTTGTATTCTACGTCACAATAATGAATCTTAGAAACAAATCATAAATATTTTATGTTCGTAATTTTTCGACTATGATTTTCATTTACATTCATATGAACTTCCATTGAATAGTAATTCTCATGTGAAGTAAATCGAATATTCTGTAGATTGATCAATTTTAATGTGAAGCTGTGGTATGCGAATAATCTATTGTTTTTAAGTCAGTTGTTAACCATAAACAGTATAAGATATAAGACAAGTTTACTGAATCAAAGTTTCCCATTTTCATATTAGTACACACACAGAGAGATAGACTTAGAGGAAACTACAAATCTAAAAAGTAAGTGTCAAAATAAATCAGTACAATCGTAAATAGAAACAAAATGTAGAAAATATTGAATTTGAAGATTGAACTTCAAATGAATAAAACATCTACAACATTGTAACCAGTTTTGAGTCATGTCACTTATAATCTCCGCTTTATTTACGTTGTTCTAGTTCATCAGAAATTCTAAATTTCTTCAAGTTCGATAATTATTTGGAATAATATATTTTTACCAAATAATTTAATATTTTTCTCACTAACGAAACAGAATTTTAGTTAATGCAGTCAGTCGGTCGGTCAGTAACAACGTAGAACTTCGTAAGTACATACATCAGTTCGAGTTGCCATACCACATTAGCACAGAGATGCATTTGTCGATTCCAATCCCGTAGTGGTAGAGGCGGTAAGAGTATAAGCAGTAATTGGGAAGATTAGGTTGTTCTCTGATCTCTATTTCTATACAATTCAATTAAGTTTAATTTTCTTTGACAAAAACTTATATTTTACTGAGGAAGTACAAGCGTTTGACAAAGTTGTCTTTTTTTCCAACAATCTTAACCGTTAAGTATGCTTCTTGCGTAACTTCTATAATTATTATCTGAAGTGTCAAGTTTTTTTGCCTTTAAAAATATACCATTTAACTTTTTTTTAATATCATAACTTTTTAGGTCACTTAGTATGGGTGATTATCCAATTCCTGTGTCTGCTTGCCAAGAAGATCGTTCTAACGATTCTCAGTGCCTAGGTCCAAATGCTGATAATTTGAGTTCAAGTTTTATGGGTCAATCATCATCAGTTTCTTCATCTACAACTCAGAAAGCTCCTAGTATTGCTGGTGCCGGCCCGTCAATAAACTCTCCTGGTACATTGTCATCAGTTGAAGAAAATTGTATCAGTGAAGATGACAATATGGATCTAGGTGTGTATTCATGCGTACAGTTTGTATGATAATGTGAATAAGTTTTCATACTTTTTCCATTCACTAACTTTTAATTGTAAATCTTGTTCAGAAGTTTTTATGTAACTGGTGTGAATTAATTTAACTTATTTACTACTGAGTACAAGTCTGTGTATTCAGCTTTGAGTCACATTGTTCGCTTTGAGAGCTAGCGATACTACTTAACCGCCTAAACTGAAGTAGATGATGCAGGGGATTCAACTATTTATCTACTGATTTTGAAAGTGGAATGCTTCAACCATTAAATTACGCAGTGCTACACATGACTTTCAGTAATGTAACAAGATTATCTTGAATGGTGTTAGAGGTGTGTGGTCGGTAATCACTTTCTGCATTGTGGAAGAAAACTAATTTATCTCGAAAGTAAACTAGTTTAGTAGTAGTCTTGAAGACCTTATAGTGCGGCTACAGTGATCAAGGGGTTGTACATGGCTTATAGCACTACTACATTTCTTTTGTTCACTGTGACCATTATATAGCAGTGAAAGTGTTCAACTTCAAACCATCATACCGCAGGTCCAAACCGTAACTCAACTATTCTGATTCGTTTAGCTGAGTACATCAAGATTAATTTGGTTATTACTAAATTGTATTAAATAGCCTCTCACCCAACAAACATATATCTTTACTTCTTCATTTCATAGCTCATAGGTGGTTACTGAATTGTGTGTTTAATGTATATTTTTTGGGTACTTAAAAAATGTCATCTTTCCATCCCATAATTAACTATGATTCATTCCCTGTAATATAAAAATATCATTAAAAAGTACACTTGATAGTTGTCATGTAGGTTTTCTGCAGTGTATTCACCTTTTTCTTGTGACTTAATTATTTTTTTTAGCTCCCCTAGCTATTATTATATTAATATTATTATTATTCTCTACTCATAGATATGTCATAACATTTTATATAGTTCCGTTTTAATATTTAGGTATTTATCTGTTAACTATTATTATTGTCGTGTTATTGCATATGTAATTAGTCCAGACCACATGTTTATTTAGGTGGGAGAGATATACTTCGTGTGTAGATTCTCTTCATTGGTATAAGAGAATGTTAATGATGATTGAATTATGTTGACCAGTAGAATTTCAATTCAATCGTTTTGTAAGAAATTTATAGTCCATGAAACATGTGTACGCGCATATATATATATATATATATATATATATATATTTGTTGGCATGTAAGAGCTAGTGACTTAAACGGAAAGTTTACATTCTCTTCATCTTTTGAGCATTTCAATTGATATCTAACAGTTTCATCAGTGTGTACTAAAGTTTCTTGTCTGCATATGTATGTAATTACTCTTATAGATGACTTCAGTTATTATTTATGTAAGTGTATATATTTTTTGAACATGTTTTCTAGCTACGTGTTTTCATAATTAATTGGTAGTTTGGTGAAATATTTATTCATCGTACGAATGCACACTACTGAGTCGTTCCATACTAGGACGAAACGCCCGTACAATTAATCCAGGTTCTCAATGGTGGTCTAACTAAATTTGATTTATGATTTCATTGATACATTGAGACATATTAGTTTTGTTTGTATGTATGAAAAGTTCAAGAACTGGTATAGTAATGACAGGAATACAATAGCAGTCCGAAGAGTCACTAAAAATGTGAAAAAAGGATTGCACAGCTATTTTCATTTAAGTTCACAAACTGCCCCCCTATTCCCTAAATAAATTCAACCTTCTAAGTGTGCAAGTGTAAGGTCTGAGTTGTTCAAGTAATTACGTTGTTATGTTTACACCAAATAGTTTACAGTACTTAACACTACCAATCATTTGATTCTGTGCAGTTTCGATATTATACAACAGTCAATATTCATGTAACTGTACATTTAAATTTCATTGCAATAAAAAAACAGTAATTGTATTTACACTCCTTTCATATAGATTTTATTCCGTATTCTTGAACTGAGGTCTCGTCGTTTAATCTTTCTTGCTATCATTACTACCATAATTCTGTCGTTCTCTATGCTATTCATCATACGAATTTCATTTCGTTGTACTGATATGATGCGGCAACTCGTACTGACGCAAATTTTCTTCCAGGCTTTACGTTGATTATGACTGACTGTATTTACACGATTGAGGATAAATCCGAGCAGATTTAATTAGCGAATGTAAACATAATGATTTCCATTATATTTAAGGTTGCCTACCTTCAAATAAAACCCTTTACTTCATGATTTTGAAGTACTTACAAATAGTACTATAAATGCATAATCTATTACACACCTTTCAATATTATATTGAAATTTTTTTGTCGTAAGAACATTCTAGTAGAACAAAGTATATTAATGTGTAAACTTAACCTATTTAATAAATCATATCATGTTTTCTCTGGAATATAAATGAACGTAACCAATAAACCTTTAAACAATTCTACTTTCTTTCCAGCTATTGATTTTTCACAAAACTAAAGATTAATTTCTATTAGAGATTAATGTTTGTTTTCTCTTTAACTATAAATACAAAATAAAGTGTCCAGGAATGTCATTAGACAATTTAAAAACTAAGTTACATAGAAATTGAAATTAAGCACACAAAAAAAAATCTGAAAAGTTAAATGAAAATAGTATTACAACATGAAAATTAGAAACGATTAAAATCATCAAATTTAATTGAGAACGATACTTTTTCGGATGGGGGGTGGGGAAGCGGAAACAATTTCATCACACAAGTTTCATAAGTCTATATGCTGCATGGAAAGCAGTTACTTGATAAGCTATTTTCTCACTTTCATCTATAATATATATCTGAATAATTTTCATGTAGATATTAGCCTATATATACGTATTAGTTTAACATCGGTTAGTAAATATTTTCTACAATGTCAGTCTTTCCATTCTTCTTATTCATATAAAGTTCCATATAGACTACAAAGTTTTTTTCCTCAATGCGTCTTTCATTTTTGTGATGTTTTTTTTTTTCAGATATGTTAAGTGATGTTCTTATTGATGGAAATGAAATGACTTCAGTAGCTTATCAAGAACCTGAATATTGGTGTTCATTATATTATTATGAAATGAATACTCGTGTTGGAGATACATTTCATTGTTCTAGTCCATGTTTAACTGTTGATGGTTTCACCGATCCAAATAGACATAATCGTTTCTGTTTAGGTCTATTATCCAATGTGAATAGAGGACATCAGATTGAGCTAACTAGAAGGCATATTGGTAAGTTGACTATAATACACTAGATATTTGTATGTTTAAATACAACGTATTACTTAGTACTATAGACAATTTTGCCGGTGTTTGTTTAGTACTTGTGATCAACACAAACGAAGCAAGTAATGAGAATGCATAATATAATTATCTATTACAATAATAACTTCAAGTTACTAATGAGTATGTAGAGATCCAGTGTTGCTCCCTAACCTTCTGGTTTACCTTACTAGCAGATATCACTGCTGTTTCCACAGCTTTTCGGATATCATTCCATGCTGCATCGGGGTGGGCATCACATACATGTCTGCTTAACTGTTTTCCTAGTTGTTCCTGAAATATACTCTTAGCTTGATTATCATTAAACAGCACCCTAAGAGGTTTCCTTGCAGCGTCTTTCCTACGTCCAGTAAGACGCAAGCAAATACGCGCTCGCACTAGAGCATGATCCGAATCTAGGCATGTGCTCCAGAATGAGCGACAGTCTTCTATCGAGCCCCTCCATCGGTGGCTGATAGCGATGTGATCTATTTGGGTCCAACGTTGGGACGAATTAGGGGGTTGCCATGTTAAAAGATGTTTTTCCTTATGCTTAAAGTTAGTATTTGCAAGGAACAGGCGGTTATCTGAGCATAGCTGCAACAGACGGTCGCCATTATCTGTTCGTTGAGCCACGACACCATAAGATCCACCTAGGTGTCTTTCCCTATCGCTTAGTTTACCTACTTGAAAATTAAATTCACCGGCCACTATTACTAGCTTTTCAGAGAGGGTCGGAAAGCTTTCTGTAAAACTCATCTTTTACATCATCTGAGCTGCAGTCAGTGGGAGAATAGGCAGAGACGACGAAGAGGCAACGACGAGTGTCCCTGTCTTTTCGGATCCTTATTGTTCCATTCAGTCGGACAGCGCACAAACGACTGTCTACTGGGATCCACTCTAAGAGAGCTAGTTCTGCCCTAGGACTCAATGCTATACCTACGCCAGCGAGGCCACGGGAAGCAGAATCAGGGCTTCCAGATACACGAAGTGTAAATCGAGTCGCTTCTTTATTTTGGCATGGTGAGGTCAAATGAATGACGCTACTTGGATCCTGTATGCGCGTTTCGGAGACGCAGCACACATCGATGGCGCGAGATTCTAAAGTCCTAGCTAAGGAAGCCTGCTGTCCTATTTGGCAAAGTGTTCGTACGTTAAAAGCTCCTACGTGTAGTTTAGAGAGTGGTTTCAGGAGACCAGGAATAGCGTTCCACGTACTCGAATCGTTTGCTCTAGCGGTGCGAGGTGATAAAGAGACGTGAGGAGGGTTAGTCATGGAGATAAGAGAGGTATTAGGAGGTGTAGGAAGGATTTGAATGTGACCAACTTGGTCTCGTGTGCTGTTACGGGTATGAGGGCTGATGTCACTTCCCGGCTGCCCACACCGTGGAAGGGTATTTCTTGAGGAACCTGAAAAAGAAATTGGATTAGTGTTGGTCTTTACGACCTGGGAGCTTGACCGCAGAGCCCAAGGGACAACTGCTGGAGGCCGGTCGCGCACGGCCTTTTCGTGGGAGGCTTTTGACGTGTTAGCTCCGTTCTTCAAAGGGTCTTACCGCCGGAGACGGAAATCCGTGAGGTAAGGTGAGGTGTGACATTTTTAGGGTCGACCTTTTCTAACCCCACCCCTCCTTGTGGGAAGGCATCATCGCTGTCATGCTGGTTGTCCGAGGGAAACACCTTACTGCTGTCACACCTCTCTACAGTCAGCAGTACGACATCGCCCTCAGACCTTGAGTTGCTGCTTTTAGTCTTACCGTTCTCCAATCGACCTGCCTGGCATGGTAGAACCTACAGAAACACATGTTCCAGCCAATATAGCTCGGTTGGGTCATCACGATAGGCAAGCCCGACCACCGCGTCAAGGTAGCAGCTTCGGTCGGGAAACAGTGTTAATGTCTAACTTCAACTAATCCAAGAAATTGAGTGACACATCCACCATTGTGATCAGTGAATTACTGTCTCACTGGTCACTGCTTCTCACTAGAACTCCAGGATATACAACTTGAAGCCAGTCACTAGTGAATGATATGTTGATTATTATCAGAAAGGGGTTTTGGCTCATGATCTCAACAATTGAAATTACTAAAATCTCCACAAAACCTCCTGATAATAATCATTCTGTTATTAAAACCTTATTTCTTACAACGATACGGCTCAGTCGATGTTTTTACTGTTTATAATCCTTGACAATATTTTGATAAACCCCCATCTACTGAGGTAATTTATATATGACTGGTATTATACGTGCTACTCTAATCCCTTCTTCAATAAACATATTAGCTCAGTAATAAGTTAGCATGAAGAAACCCTCAGAATGCCAGATACTATATGTAGTAGATAAACTATACCCTAGTTGTGGTTTGCGCGATAGTCATGATCAAATATTGTGAAGGCCTTAGGTGATATAGTTCGCATTCAGTCGTAGTAAAGCAGATTCATCTATTCTGTATCTCGTTTCCGAAATTTCGCGTTACAATGTTAATTTACGATTGTGACTAAGTTCAGAAATTTAAGTAATGTAATTTAAATACAGAAAGATTCTAAACTCTGTTGACTGAGATGTTTGATAAACACAACATTCCTCAGTTTACACTGTCCAAGGATTTTGATAGAAAGTGAAGGGGAAGTGATCAAGTTGGGCTATTCCTCTCAACTTAATCTTACACGTGTTCGAAATAATTCACAAAATATGTTGGAAGTAGTAGCAGATACACACTAATTGTTATCACACACTACGTAACTCACTTTTTAGAACGTGTACGACAATCGCTTTACTTTACGATAAGTTAAGCCTATATCTTTCAGACTAGGTGATTTATTATTTATTTTTTATCCCTCGTTAAGTTGATCGGTTACTTGCTGACTAAACAGCACTGAATAGTAGGATCAATGATAATGCAATAAATATTTCTAATAAAATATTGTTGCGTTTTTATACGCCATTGGTAAACTTACTATCAAATCTATAGATTGCTTCACTGACACTGGGCTTGTTGCTGTTTGTTACTTAGATGAACTAAAAACCCTGAATTTACCAGATGTTACTATCAATTTTAAATAGGCAGTACATGTTGACCACCACGTTACTTTTGTGAAGATTTTCCACCCATTACTCCTAACCTGTAGGAATAGACTGTAAAACTTAGATAATTTATAATAAGCCAATGAAATTTTAATGTTTTTTTTATTGTGCGTTTAGCAAAGTCATAAACGTCTTAACTTTTTAATGGCATATTTTAAATGCAAACATTGCTCGTATATGCTTCTTATGAATAATCAAGTAGGCTATCCAGGTTAGGTAATTTGATCCAAAATGATAAGTGTTTTATTCATTTGTAATGGTTATAGTTGGTTTTAAGAGGTGTCACAATATTCTTTTGTGCTTGAACTAGAACAAACAGTATTCTCGGTGGAGTTTCCTCTTGCAATATAATTTCTCAGTAACAAACTGTAAATGTTTATTAATGTGTGAATACTTCTAGGGTGAGATAACATTTTGCTTCATCCTTAGTCATATTAAATCTTTGAGAATAAATCTTGAAACATCGTTATTGGATCTTATATTTAATTTATCCTTGTATTTTAGTTAGCGTTTATAGTGCTTGACAAACATTCATTCAAAATTCATTTACATGTTTATTCGAATTGTTTTTATGAATTAATGATCCAACACTTCAATTAATGTTCTCCTTGTTTATTGTTGTTGTTTGGCTTTCGGAAGTTGTTTTTTTTTCATCTTCAACTGTCACATTGATTTTTCTCACATTCAGTCGGTTGAATTCGATTTCATATAAAGAGATAACAACAAATAGTTTATTTGATCAATCCATTTTTAGCTTACTTCTTTCTCATCTTTTTTTTGCCTCTCGCTATCCTGTTTCTACGACACAAAACAAAACAAAAGTTTTCTACTTCTACCCAAAATGTGAACTGGGTGGTGGGTAAAGTTGGGAAATCGACATCCTAAAGCTGGTACTTACTGTTTTTATTGATTTTTCTAACAGATCGATGAGGAGTGGAATGTGATTGAAAAATATGTATGTCAATATAAATCGATTTATAGGTCAAACTTACTATCCAGTGTGTCCTTTGAAGTTAATGGTTGTGTGTGTGTGTACGTACATGCATGTACGTGTGTGTGTGTGCTAGTGAATGCAGTCATTTACGATCGAAATAGTTAAGTGATGGAAGGTTTTCTAGGCTAAATAAAACAATAATAATAGTCGTGTATCGTTGTTTCTTTTTTATGACATTTTTAATTGCCAAGCTTACTTTCCAATATCTGTATGTATATTTATAACACAGTAACCAGTATCTATTGTTACTTGTATAATACATTTCTATTAATTATTTGGTTCTCATTTAAGCTATATTTAATATTAATTTCTTTTAAAATTTACTCTTGGTTAGTAACTGTTATTATTGGTTAGTTTCTCAACCTGTAGTGATTGATATATATATATATAAGAAGTTCAAAATCTAATTAAAAAAAGTTATTTCAGACGTGTATATGTAGGTAGTTTGCCCTTCTCTCTTTATGAGATTATAAATTACTAGTGTAAGTAATAAAAATCAACTTAAGTCAAAGTTCATTATCATCATTTCACTCTTACCAAAATTACCTTACATTCAAAATATTTGATTTCCTTGTTTAGATAATATGCAATTCTACTAACTAGATTACTGTTTTATTGTATAAAATGTATTTTTCATAGATTTCTAAATGTGAATGGCTAGTATGGTAAAATAATAAGCTTTTAGTTGTCTTGGTTACTGTCATGTAATTAATGCTAGCACTGTTTGGTAGTTGGAGCCGATCACTAGGATGCCCTGTGTCTAGATTTCATGCTAGTTAAAATTACCTCAGTAATTTTTGTTTGCACTCTTCAAGAAACTGACGGTCGAATCCGTATTAACCACTATCACAATGAAATATGTTATTAGTTAGCTATTCAGTTCTTCTATAAAAGTGAGTAGTAAACGGATTTCATATTATCTGTTACGTGATACTGATCAAGTTCTGTCAATAAAGTTGGGATGGGTTCACTACTGTGAATAATTTTGCTTTGTAATGCACAGTAATTTGAAAACGCTCGAAAGTAACTATTAGCACTACTCAGTCTTTTTTATATGACATTTGCAATGTACACCTTCGTTTACGTGGCTCTGAACAGCATTTTTGTCTATACGAGCTATTAATACTACCCTCCTGAAATAGTTAGACCGGGATTCGAACTAATACGTAGCTGTGGTGTTGCGGATTGTTAACTCACAGTTTTGTTTCAATTTTAACAGTAAATTTATGATTAATTGTAATAGTTTTTATTATAAATAAAATTTTACAAAAGATTGCATATTTGATTACATTCATTCAATTTCTTTCATTCCTTAATACCAGAGGTATTCATTCTCAATATTACTATTGGGACGGATTTATATCAATATTCTCTATTGGTTGGTGAATGTAGACGATCGATAAATTGTGATTTTTTTCATGTTTATTATTCCTTGTCTTAATTACTACTATCTTTTCTTATTCTTCTTCTTTGGAAATAGGTAAAGGTGTTAAACTTTATTATATTGGCGGTGAAGTGTTTGCAGAATGTTTAAGTGACAGTGCTATATTTGTACAATCTCCTAATTGCAATTATATGTATAAATGGCATCCAGCAACTGTATGTAAAATTCCACCTGGATGTAATTTAAAAATATTCAATAATCAAGAATTTGCTAATCTTCTTACAGAAAATGTAACTAAGGGTTTTGAAGCTGTTTATTCACTAACAAATATGTGTACTATACGAATGAGTTTTGTCAAAGGATGGGGTGCTGATTATCGGTATGTTCAATATCCTATGCAATATTATCCAATATTCAAGTGATTTTACATGAGGTGTATTTTATGTATGAGATCTGTTGATAATATTTGACCAGATCATATCTGATACCCATGACATGGTGGTTGATTTCACCTGTCATGATAATTCAGCAGGACTGTTTTGGCTAAAAATCTTGTTCCTTCAAGCTGATAGGAGGGCAGCACTTGCTGAACGGAATCTATTTAGGGTTCAATAACGATATCATACTCCTGGTTATACTAATGAATAGAAGCTGTAAGGTATTTCTTAGCATATTAAGTGTTGTTGCCCTCTCACATATAAAGTTGGAGTTAAAAAATATGGATCCTGCGAATAAACTACTTCATTTTGCCACACGAATTTAAGTGTTATATGTTGTAAAAAGTTAATGCGAGTTTTGAGATAGGCACAGACATATTGTCTAAAAATAATCAGCTTAGTTTCTAATATTTGCCTACAGCTACACCGACTATTCACCTTCATTATTCGGTTTTCTTCTCTTTGACTTGATAATGTTTTATCCTTCCTTTACTGACTTACCCTCTGTGTGTGCGGCGTCACCATTTTGTGTGTATTCACCTACCGTCTTACCTAATTTTTTCTTATTTTCAGCCGACAAACTGTAACTAGCACTCCGTGTTGGATTGAAATTCATTTAAATGGACCTCTACAATGGCTTGATCGTGTCCTTAGTCAAATGGGCTCCCCAGATCATCCTTGCACATCTGTCAGTTGAACCGATGAAGCTATCCCTTATTTATTTATTATTGTTATGATAATTGTTAATGTTCAGGATAAATTATCTCTTGTCAATAGTATCTTTTCCGACGTCTTTCGAATACCTCCTAAATAAAAATAAAAACAATTATTGAATACTTATTAATATTATTGTTATTCATTTCACTGGATTTCAGGCTGCCGATGACACTTCTAACTTTAACCCAAGTTCAATTTGTCCTCAATTACAGTTGTATGTTGTCACTTGATTATTATGTCGCTATTATTTTAAATGTTTTAATCCTTCTGAATGCAAGTCTATAATGTTAGATTAATGCCAAATATTCATTGATGACAATTTGACATTGATTATGTATTTCTTTACCTCCTTCAACTTACCCTCCCGATTGTCAACCATTTTCCTTTATTCCGTTTTTAATTTGAAAACGTAAATAAGAAATTCTTCGCCACACTGTCTTACGCATTATTATTATTGATGTTTTTTCATTTCTGTGTAGTTAATCATTCCATGTTGTTTTTAGACTCTCTCTTTATATTAACATATTACCCTGCTTATTTATTACTGCCTTAATTCCTTTTTGGTTTTTTTGTAACACCAGGTACTTTATTTACTTCATTTTATGTCAGTAATGATGTTCAGACAAATAGTTCTTTCCCTTATTGTTACTATCATTGTCATTTTATTTGTATCATACTTCCTCAGTTGAGAATAATGTCTTGCACAATAGTCTCGTTTTTAAGAATAACACAATTGTATCCGTTTATCGTATGTCCATTATCGACAACACCATCTTCATCGTTATAGTTGTTAGCAGGTGTACATGTTTAAATGGTTGATTGAAAATTGTCTCTTTTACGGGAATTCTTTTGTTTTGTTTCCTCATTAGTGAGCGCCGTAATTTTCCACTGGGTTTTTTGTATGCTACTGAATATCGTCACTATTATTATTATTATCATTGTTGTTACTATTAATGTATGCTTATTTTGTCTTTAACAACTACCCGGTTAGTGGTGGTCTGTTTCACATGGGTTTCTGTATAATATATATATATATATATATATATATATATATATATATATATATATATATATATATATATGATTTATAACCCAATCATTAATTATTATAAAGTTTTCCTGTTGAGATTCAGCATTTTTAGTTGGGAATCAACTACCATGACGATTCTGTTACTTTTTGTTGGGTTTTATCTTTTTTTTAGAGAGGTGTTGTCGGTCATTGTTCACTGTACTTTTAAAAGAATCTTTGCGTGTTCTGGTCATCTTTCTTTTTCATCATTACTGAACTTTCACCTTTTTTAAATTTATGTCTAATGCGTAGTGAACTGTCAGCGATTTGTTTGCTTGTTTTCATATCTCCTTTTAATCAGTAGGGGCGGCAGTTTATGATAATAATAATGAATATTATCCAGTGTTTGTAATTAATTTAGCCCGATATTTTGTTAAATATTTTTTGTTCTATTACTTGAAAACTCCTATACATACGTACGACAAGTCATTTTGGCTCATATATAAATATATTAACCTAGTTTCAGTTAACTATGTTCCTTTTCAACCTGATAATAAATATAACGTTGATAAAGAAATTTAAAATTGTCTACTAGGTTGTACTATACTTTATTTCTAAGAGATATCGAGTAGCTTTTGCGTCAGTGTTTTACTCTATTCTGTCTCTCTGTCAATGTGTGGTTACCTTTAGTGTTATATTTCATGGCTAATGGTTTTATTCATGTAAATGTTCGTGGTCGAAACTAACTTATTACTTAGATAGACATCAGTTATTCTCTGATTCAGCATACTTGTATCATTTGATTTTCATTATACAGTAATTTTATGAAATTTTTATTTTAAACTCCAAAATTACTTTTCCACACCATTTGTGTTAGTTGTCTATCAGTCGACAATCGACCAAGTTTAATTTTGTCTAAATAATGATATATATTCAATCGGAACAACAATTGAAACTACGATAACAGTTATGACACCGGAGAACAGTCTTGGAGTCCAAATTAAAGTAACTAATAGTAATTTTTTTTCTTATTGTAACTATGCTCCGAATTCAATCATGTTTCAGTGTTTCACAAATCGAGTTACTTATTATCTTACATTATATTCATTACAAGTAAAACTGTTCAAATAATCTCAAGTTATCGCTAATGAGAAACCAGTCTTTTACAATAAGAAAACGTATGGTGGATCATTTGATTGTTTAATTGAAAATGATTTTGTATTAAGCCAATGATAGTTTAATAACAGCTGACGTCTGTACCTCATAGGTTACGGCAGTGATTGCCTGCCATCATCTACTGTTTAAAAAGTATTCGAAAAATGTAAGTCAAGAAGATTATTCAATGTAGAAGAAAAATTTTGAATTAAGCGTTTTCGTCAGTTCTGTTTTAATAAAATAGAAAACTGGATAAGCAAACTTAGCACCGTAAAGCAACAGTTTTTTTACCGTTTACCTGATTTATTTATGCTGAAAATTATCATGTGCTCATTAGTAACTAACTTCGACAGGGAATTCTCGGAGTTCTAGTGAGAGGCTGCGACCATTGAAGTTGAACCGTGTCGGGTGGGAGGTCTGAAGGTTTAGTGTTAACGTGAGACCATAGTTAGTTCGTTGGATTCCTGGTTGAAGGTATGTGGATACGTAGTGCTGAGGAGTTCCATACTAGGGCGAAACGTTCGTCCAGTGCTTCTAGGTTCCCACTGGTCGTTTAACATTGATTGATTTATGATTTCAGTGAAATCCAACAATCTCCGCAATGATTTATTTAATTTGATGACATTTATTTTCATCATTAATGCCTACTGTCCGTTTTTCGTAAGTTATGTATATACTGTTCTCCAGGTTTTATCTTTTCATCCTTCGTAAAGTTGAACTGTACCGCTAGATAACCTATAGATGTCTGTCCACTTGACCAAACACAAAACATCAATGACTATTGAATATTTTGTCTTATCACGATATTCTTTCATATATATCGTTACAAAGTATTCTAACATTACAAATTTTATTAATCTTTGATGAAAACCCCAACTCCATATTATATTTGGACTATGATCTCAAAGTGATTTACACGTCTATTATTGGCTCGGTGGTATAGTTCAGCTTCATCAGAAAGCTAGAAAAATAATAATCAGTTATAATTTGCACTTGTTTAATCTAAATTGTCCTTGTTACTCAACGGCAAGTATTGTCACTAATACACGTACGTGTGTGTGCCTGTGTACCTGTACCGTGAAAGGTCATGGCTGTTATAATAACATGAATACATCGTCAGTCGTATTTGTTCTTCCCTTTCTATTAGGCTTATTTTAATTTAATTATTCATATCCCTCCCACTATGTATGTGTGTAAATGTTTACCTTGACCTAGAATTTATCCGATCGTCTAGAGTTTTTATTTGTTATGTGTGATTAATCTAAATTATAAATGATGTCATATTCAATTTATTATGTATGTCTGTTGCTTGTCTATTCTTTTATTCATTCCTGTTTAGATGGAGACGAATGAATGCTTTTTGTAATATTGTTTTGAGGTCGTTTTTATTACATGTAGTGGATAGTTGATAAATACATGAACGATGAGGTCAAAGTTAATATATATATCTCTGTATACCAAATATAAGAAATTTTCTCACACATCTTTCAGTTGGATACTAAATTATCTAGATTTTATCTTGTGTTAAACCATGAAAATACAAAATGATTAGTATGTAAATAAGAAGTTGGTCTAGTTTTGCAACAGATTCACAACTGTATCGTTTAATTCAAAGGATCCTTGCTTTTCGTTGTTAAAAACTATCAATGAATAGTGTTAAATAGTACTTTCTTAAAACAGTATTTTTTTTCCAAAATGTAATGATCCAATATCAAATTATCAATATAAGGTTGGGCAGATTACAGATCGATCAAAGTAAGAATGTCACTGAAAATATGAAAGCACTAGACATCAGTTTTGTCTTAGTGTGAAACTTGTTAGCAATGTGTGTCTATGGTTCTGCTATCGGGAATCAGGAGCATTTGGTTTTGCTTTGTGATCTCAGTGAAATTCGTCAATCTATATAAGTTTACACAGCTATCATGTGCTCTCTAGTGATCAACTTTGAGAGGAAATTCCCTGTGTTCTAATGAGAAGTTGTGACGAGTGGAGCTAAACTGTGTCGGGTGTGAGGCAGTTACCTGCTTAAGGTAATAAAAGATGGTAACACGATATTGTGGATTGGTTGAAGTTACACATTAATAGCGCTGGATGCCAACTCAATGATCTGGAGGCTAAGTGTTCGAGTGAGACCTAAGTTTATTTATTGGATTCCTGATTGAGGTTATGTGGACGCGTTGTATTGACGAGTCCTATACTAGGACAAAACGGTCGTCTAGTGCTTCCAGGTTTTCAATAGTGATCTAACATTGATCAGGTCGTGATTTCAATACGATAAAAAATCATTTAGAATATGCTGCCACCTTGACATGGTGGTCAGGCTTGCCTATCGTAATGAACCAACCGTTCCTCAGGGTTCTATCATGCTAGATAGGTCAGTTGAATTGATATAAGACTAAAAGCAGCAAACCCGAGGGCGAAAGTCGTACTTCCAAATGTACAGATGTGTAATGGCAATAAGGTGTTTCCTTCATACAACAGCGATGCTGCCTTCCCATGTGGAAGGGTGGGGTAAGAGACGGTCGACCCTAAAAATATACACCTCGCTTTATCTCACGGATTTCCGTCTCCGGAGGTAAGGCTCAACAAGTGCGGGGCTAACACGAAAATTACTCACAAAAAGGTCTTGTGTAACCGGCCTCAAGAAGTTGTCCCTTGGGCACTGTGGTCACTAAGACTAACTCTAAACCGATTCCCTTTTTCAGGTACCTTTAGAAGAACCCTTCCACGATGTGAGCAACCGGGAAGTGATAACCACCATCACACCTCTAGCAGCACTCAAGACCACTGTATTCATAATCAGTCTCCCTCTTTAA